TTCCAATGAGTCGAGATCGCGCCACTGCACTCCAGCCTGGGCGACAGAGCGAGACTCCGTCTCAAAAAAAAAAAAAAAAAAAAGAAAAGAAAAGAAAAGAAAACACGAGATAATCCTGTCCGCAAACGCATAGCAGTCTTACGTAGGCCTGGTGAAAGGATGCAGGAACACTCCCCCACCCGCGCCCCCGAGAAAGGCGAACGCGCAGCGCGAGGTTCCGGGTCCGCCAGGCTCCCGGCATGCAGCGCTGCAATCCCGGCGAGCACCTTGGCGCGCGGAGCTGGCACCTTGGCGCGGTCGGCGGCGGCGGGGACAGCTGTGACGTGTGAGGTTCTTGGTCTGCTGGCAGCTAGGGGCGACGAGGCGGGACGTCATGGAAGTGTAAGTCTCCCCGGGCGCGTCCCTTTTCGGCCGAGGAGCCCATCGGTTTGACCGCTGAGAGCCGAGATCCTTGGGAACTTGGCGACCCTCGTACGGAAGTGAGGGCAGCGGGCCGGCCCTGTCCGGGAGGGCCGCGGGGTGGGGACGGGGACGAACGGGACTCTCGCTTTGCCCCTCCGAACCTTCGCTTCCCCTCCACACCCTGTGTCTGGGGTGCGCGGCCGAACACCTCCGGGTCTGGTTGCCTTTCAGTGTGCGCCCTCCTTCTCTCATTCATTTACCAGCGTTTTTGGGTCACAGTGCGGGGGTGGAGCCCAGCCTGGTATCCGAGCCAGGACTTAGAAGGCTATAAAGGCCTGAGTCTGTTCGCCCTGAAAGTACCTGGAGAAAAGATGAATCAGGGCCGGGTAGAGCTCTGCTTGCAGCACTGGGCCCCTGGGGAGCTCTCACTCGGAAGAGCTGCTCTCAGAGTTTGATGGGAGCAGTCAACGCTGTTAGGGAAGGGGCTAGTTTTTGTGGGGAGAAGGGAAGGATGTGAGCCAGGACTCGGACCGGAGAAACAGCACGGAGTGTGTGGGTGTGTACAGGCGAGGGTAAAAGATTTTCTGACAATTTAACTCCACGTGGTCTTTTCCATGCTTGCTCGTTGCACGTCGTGCAAATGGAAGTTTTTGCATCTACTCCGAATGTGGGCTTTATATGGTTGATATTAACTTGTAGGTATTTACCTATCTTGTGTTCTCTGTGCACTGATTATTTGATTCAGTTTCCTTTATGTTCTTTTGCCTCGTGTTTAATGGTTATATGTACGATGGCATTTCAGATTTTTACATTCTTAATTGTTTTTTCTTAAGAAACAGGGTCTTGCTGTGTCCCCCAGGCGGGAGTGCAATGGTGTAATCATGGTTCACTGCAGCCTCACCTTCCGGACTCAAGCAATCCTGCTTCAGCCCCTCCAGTAGCTGGGACTACAGGCCCACACCATCACTCACGGCTAATTTTTTAAAAAAGTTTTGTAGATACAGGATCTCACTACAGCCCAGGCTGGTCTCCAGCTCCTAAGCTCAAGTGATCCTCCTGCCTTGTACTCCCAAAATGCTGGGATTGCAGGCGTGAGCCACCTCACCTGGTCCCTTCCCATTTTTTTTTTTTTTAACTTAACACAATATGTCTGTGTAACTGAAATGAAAGGATCATGAAACAATAATGTATGGAGTACACTCTCATATTGTCTATTTTTTAAGATGAAGGGGGCCAAGCATGGTGGCTCATGTCAGTAATCCCAGCACTTTGGGAAGCTTAGGTAGGAGGATCACTTGAGCCTGGGAGGTGGAGACCAGCCTGGGCAACATAGGGAGACCCTGTCTCTACAAAAAATTAAAAAGCTAGTTGGGTGTGGTAGTGCATGCCTGTAGTCTCAGCTACTTACAAGGCAGAGATGGGAGGACCGCTTGAGACCAGGAGGCTGCAGTGAGCTCAGATGGAGCCACTGCACTCCTGACAGAGTGACAGAGCAAGGCTCTGTCTAAAACAATACAAAACAGAACAAAAAAGGTTGACCCACTGAATTAATTTTGCAACCCACGGATCGGATTTCATCTGCAACCTGAAAAACTATTCATATAATTTACTCTAGTCCAAGCCATCATTACTAATTTTTCCCTCTTTACTGGAGCATTTCCTGTGAGCATACAACCCTGCTTTAATGTATTCATCTTAGAAAATCCCCTGTCCCCACATACATGTCCACCTCTTACTCCATTTCTGCTTCCCATCCCAACAAAACTTCTTGAAAGTGCTGATTAGCCCCTCTTTCTCTCAACCATTCTGTTGGGCTTTCTTCCTCACTGGTCTACAGAAATGAATGTTAAGATTACCTGATCCAGGGGACGCGGTGGCTCACACCTGTAATCCCAGCACTTTAAGAGGCCAAGATGGGCGAATCGCCTGAGGTCAGGAGTTTGAGACCAACCTGGCCAACATGGCAAAACCTTGTCTCTACTAAAAATTAAAAAATTAGCCAGGTGTGGTTTTGGGTGCCTGTAATCCCAGCTACTCAGGAGGCTGAGGCAGGAGAATCACTTGAATTCAGGAGGCAGAGGTTACAGTGAACCAGATTGTGCCACTGCGCTCCAGCCTGGGCGACAGAGCAAGACTACATCTCCAAAACAACAACAACAACAACAAAAAAACCCCTGATCCCTCCATCCCTCCGTCTTTTCAAATCCAGAGGTTGATTTTCTGGCCTCAACTTTTTTGATCTCTCAGCAGTGGTTAATACAGAAACTCTAGAAACTTTCCTTTCTTCATGTTACATGTTCCTTTGTGATATTTCCTCCTACATCAAGGATTACTTCACAGTGTCCTTCCCTGGGTCCCATTCCTCCCTTGCTGGATGTCTAAGTGTTGAGGTATCTTAGGTCTCAGTCCTGGGACCCTTTCTCTCCACGCTCTGTCATTTAACCCATCTGTGTGCTGATGGTTCCCAAAGGTGTGTTTCTAGCCTCTTCTCATCATCTATCCAATTGCATAGACCAAAAATCTAGCCCTCTCTCCTCACTCCGTAAATCTAGTCCATCAGTGGTCTTGTTGTCTCCACCCTAGAATGTATTTTGAATGCAGCTACTTTTCACCGTCTCCACTGTGAGCTTTATAGTCCATCACCTCTGGGCTGGATTAAGCAATAGCCTTTGAGTGTTCACTCTTCCCCAGCCTCCATTCTGTTCTCCACATGGCAACTGGAGTGATCTTAAGTAATGACTGGAACATGTCACCCCCTGGGTAAAACCCTTCATTGACTTTCCATTGCACTTAGAGGAAATCTCCATCTCTTACCAGGACCTGCAAGACCCTGTGAAACCTCACCTACTCCCCAGCCTGACCACTTGCCACTCTCCCAACCTCCCAGACACACACTCCACTGACAGGTATTTCCTTCTCCTCTAACCTTCTGAGCACTTTCTGAGGACAATTGCATTGCGATACCCTCTGTCTGGTATACTTTCCTCCTCGCCCTCACCCTGTTCTCTTCTTTTTATTGTATTTTTAAAGTTTGTTTTTGAGATGGAGTCTCGCTGTGTCACCTAGGCTGGAGTACAATGGCGCAGTCTCGGCTCACTGCAACCTGTGCCACCAGGGTTCAAGATTCTCGTGCCTCAGCCTACAAAGTAGCTGGGATTACAGGTGTGTGCCACCATGCCCAGCTAATTTATGTATTTTTTTTTTTTTTTTTTTTTTTGAGACGGAGTCTCGCTATGTCGCCCAGGGTGGAGTGCAGTGGCCGGATCTCAGCTCACTGCAAGCTCCGCCTCCCTGGTTTTTACGCCATTCTCCTGCCTCAGCCTCCCAAGTAGCCGGGACTACAGGCGCCCACCACCTCGCCCGGCTAGTTTTTTGTATTTTTTAGTAGAGATGGGGTTTCACCGTGTTAGCCAGGATGGTCTCGAACTCCTGACCTCGTGATCCGCCCGTCTCGGCCTCCCAAAGTGCTGGGATTACAGGCTTGAGCCACCGCGCCCGGCCTAATTTATGTATTTTTAATAGAGACAGGGTTTCCATGTTGGCCAGACTGGTCCAGACTGGTATTGAATTCCTGACCTCAGGTGATGTGCCTGCCTTAGCCTCCCAGAGCGTTGGGGTTACAGACGTGAGCCACCACACTTGGCCACCTGTTCTCATCTTGAAGGTTGTGTCCCTTTTCAAAGTTGCCTTTCCTCTTCAGTAAGTCTAACATAAGTTCTTTTTGTCTCTCATATCGTCTTGATTTACTTTCCCTTAAATAATTACAAGTTGCAATAATAAATGTATGTTTACTTGTTTGGAGGGTGGGGACCAGTGTGTGTTCACCTAGTGCTTAGCATTGCATCTGGCACACAGTAGGCATTCAGCAAATACTTGTTCAATAAAGTAATATAACAATACTTTATTAGCTTCATAAATATAGTCATCGCTCAGTGTCTTTGAGGGACTGGTTCTGGGACCCCCTGCGTATACCAAAATTCACAGATGCTCAAGTCCCTTATGTAAAATGGTGTGGTATTTGCATATAACCTATGCACATTCTCCCATATACTTTAAATTGTCTCTAGATTACTTATTGTGATTTCATGACACATAATACCAGTTTTTGTCCATGGTTCCTGGCTCACAACTGCCATAGTCCTTGTTACTTCCTGAGTGACTAAAATAGTAAGCATAACTTTTGTTAAAGTATTTGTCCTTTGTCCATAGTTCCTGAAGCGGCCTTGGAACAGCTTCAGAGCAGTAAAGGTAAAAGACAGTCTTTTGTTAGAATGTTGGGATGCTCTGACCAGGCACGGTGGTTCACGCCTGTAATCCCAGCACTTTGGGAGGCCGAGGCAGGTGGATCATGAAGTCAGGAGATCAAGACCATCCTAACACAGTGAAACCCCGTCTCTACTGAAACTGCAAAAAATTAGTCGGGCGTGGTGGCAGGCGCCTGTAGTCCCAGCTACTCGGGTGGCTGAGGCAGGAGAATGGCATGAACCGGGAGGCGGAGCTTGCAGTGAGCCAAGATCGTGCCACTGCACTCCAGCCTGGGTGGCAGAGTGAGACTGTCTCAAAAAAAAAAAAAAAAAAAGAATGTTGGGGTGTTGTAAGCCTCAGAAGCAGGCCTCAGAAAACAGAAGCTCTGTCCGTCTCTTGCTCTCTAATCATCCGCTGCCTTTCTGTCTTAGAGCTGGCGATAAAATCTCTGACCTGTCTTGTCTGATTGTTTCAGAGGGGGTCCTGCCCCTTACCCAGGAGGAAGGAATACCGCACAGAGAGGCCAAGGAGAATCTGGACCGGCCTTGCTGGGTTTCTGCACTCAGTCTGCTAGTATTAGATCACACTCTTTGTTCAATCAATTACTATGAGGTTGGCCATGCTTCAATCATCTCTCTCCAATGAAATCTCTACAAAACGCCCAAGAGAACTTCTAGATAGCCTAATAGGTAGATGTTTCTGGAGGGTGGTACGCCTGGGAAGGGCATAGAGCTCTGCGTCCCCTCTCCATCTCACCCTGTGCACCACTTCATCTGTATCCTTGGTAATATCCTTTATAATAAACCAGTGAACCTAAGTAAGTGTTTTGTGAGCCATTCTAGCAAATTAATGAAACCCGAAAAGGAGGTCCTGGGAACTGCAGCTTGAAGCCCGTCATTGAGAAGTTCTGGAGGCCCTGACTTGTGTGACTGGTGTCTGAAGTAGGGGTAGTCTTCTGGGACTGAGCCCTCAGCCCGTGGAATCTGACACTGTTTCCAGGTAGTTAGTGTCCGGATTGAATTGGATGGGAAGATACCCAGCTGGTGTTGGCTGCAGAGTTGATTGCCTGCTTATTGGTAGAGAGAAATCCCCACGCGTCTGGTCACAGAAGTCTACTGTATAGATTGTTGTCAGGTGAGAGCAGAGGAAAAACTTTGATTCTCAACCAACTTATAATATCTGATGCAATGTAAAGGCTGTGTAAATAGTTATTGTACTGTGTTGTCTAGGGAATAGTGACAAAAAGCAGTCTGTCCATGTTTAGTACAGAGGCAGCCATCCTAGGCCTAACTACATAGTACATGTCAGCAACAGTGTAGCATTTTCTTAAAATTTTTTTTTGCATGTTTTTCATTTGAAGTTGGTTGAATCTAAGGATGTGGAACCTGAGGCTAAGGAGGACCGACTGTATAGGAATTCATTAGCTAGCATCCTAGTTGCTAGGCGTGTATATTTTCTGACTTTCCCAAGTGAAATGGTTTGAATCAAGGGGTTTTTGTTCTTGTAACAGCCTGTCCACTTCTGCCAAGTAGTCAGTGACTTCTGGTGACCAATCCAGAATTTTGCAGCCAGTAATTCATGGGAAAATGAGGTTTCCTAATATAGACATGTGATTTGGGAGTGAAGGGCCCTGGAGTGGAAAGGTCTGGAAGCCTAACTTCTGGTCCTTACCTGGTCATCAACAGGAGGTGTGGCGTTTGGAAGTCTGTTCCGTGGGATCTTTAGCAGAACCTTGAGTTGCAGATACAGTTGACCCTTGAACAACACAAGCTTGAACTTCATGGATCTCCTTATACGCAGGTGTTAAAAAATAAATGCAGTTGGCCCTCCTTATCTGCAGGTTCCAAATCTGCAACCCAATGCAGAGAATGAAAATAACCATATTTGAGGGTTGAGAATATACCGCGTACGTGGAGAGCTGACTTCCTAGCTGCTGGTTCTGCAAGGCTCTCTGGGAGACAAGCATGTTCGGATTGTGGTATATGTGGGGGTCCTGGGACCAATCTCCAATGAATACCAGGGGATGACTGTATATTGTACCTCATCAGACACTCCCAGAACCTGAAGTGAGGAGGTACAATGAACAACTCCCCTAAGTTTTTGCTACTTTAAAAATTCTTATTGAGTAAATACCTACTAAGTAAATAGTATAGAATAATAATAATAGTACCAATAATAATAATAATACCTGAAATTTCTTCTTTTTTTTTGAAAGAGTTTCGCTCTTGTCACCCAGGCTGGAGTGCAATGGCGCAATCTTGGCTCACTGCAACCTCCGCCTCCCGGGTTCAAGCAATTCTCCTGCCTCAGCCTCCGGAGTAACTGCCTGGGTAATTTTTGTATTTTTAGTAGAGATGGGGTTTCATCATGTTGACCAGGCTGGTCTTGAACTCCTGACCTCAGGTGATCCACCCGCCTCTGCCTCCCAAAGTGCTGGGATTACAGGTATGAGCCACTGCGCCTGGCCCAGAAATTTATTGAAGGGGAGGAATACTTATGCTTTATTTGATTGACAATTTAAAAATAAAAACTTCTTGACCATTACTTGGAAATGTATTTTCCTCAAGTAAAAGGTTACAATTTTTTCTTTTTTTTTTTTTTTTAATATGGAGTCTCGCTGCATCACCTAGGCTGGAGTGCATGGTGCGACGTCAGCTCACTGCAACCTCCACCTCCTGGGTTCAAGCGATTCTCCTGCCTCAGCCTCCTCACTAGCTGAGACTACAGGCATGCGCCACCATGCAAAATATTTATATAGCAAAGTTAGGTATGTCTATATATAAGGTATTTGCTGTTTGGCTTTGTCTATAAATGATCATTGATATGCTAGAAAGGTTTGTGTCCACTCTTTTATTCTTGAACATAATATGTATAATTAGCAAAGTGGACACTATCCTCTGTACCATTTTTTTGAGGTAGTGTCAGGATTTCTTTCCTTTTACAGCCGAAAATACTGATATTTATAAAAGGTAGGTAATAGGTACTATAAGAACCCAGTAACAGGACTGAAAAGAGGATACCCATGTGCTAGATCCCAAGAGAATGCTACAGGTTAATTTGTTCATTGATTTCAGAAGCTGCCCAGTTTGCTTGTACCAGAGTTTAGTTTTTCAGAGCATGACTTGATAGCATAGGTTGGGCATAGGAGAATTTGAACAATTCTTTTAATCATTGCCTGCATAAGAGTTAACTGTGTGGCAGTTAATAGGAACTGTTTGGCCGGGCTCGGTGGCTCACGCCTGTAATCCCAACACTTTGGGAGGCCCACGCAGGCGGATCACGAGGTCAGGAGACTGAGACTATCCTGGCTAACACAGTGAAACCCCGTCTCTACTAAAAATACAAACAATTAGCCAGGCGTGGTGGCGAGCGCCTGTAGTCCCAGCTACTCTGGAGGCTGAGGCAGGAGAATGGCATGAACCGGTGAGGCGGAGCTTGCAGTGAACCAAGATCGTGCTACTGCACTCCAGCCTGGGCAACAGAGTGGGACTCTGTCTCAAAAATAAATAAATAAATAATAGGCACTGTTTGCATGGGCCATTTGTGTATGTGTTTGCTTCTAAGGAAAGTTCACTGAGAGATTTTTTTTGTTCTGTTTATTTGGAATTCAGTTTCCCCAACTAGTTGTTTACATCCATTTAATTGACTCACCGTTTTAAGCAAATTTTACAAGTTAAGTGTCAAATAGAACGTCAGCTTCAGTCATCTAATTCATTACTTGAGGAAATTAAGTAACTGCCTGCCTGTGGTATTGATTTAGACAGTTGTTTTTGTTTTGTTTTTTTACTCAAGCATTGCCATGTTAATTTGCCAGGGCTGATTTTAGAAAGCACCACACAGTGGGTGGCTTTGACTGCAAAAGCTTATTTTCTGACAGTTCTGGAGACTGGAAGTCAAAGATCAAGGTGTAGCAGGTTTGGTTTCTTTTGAGGCCTCTTGCCTTAGCTTGCAGATTGCATACGTCTTGCGGTGTTCTCACATGGTCTCTCCTCTATGAGCACAAGTCCCTGAACTTTTTTCTAGACAGTCTTTAAAATGCATTTGGAGTATTTGCTTTAAACACATGTAAATAAAATGAGTACTATTTTAAGTCCTACAGGAGAATATGAAGTTTTTGTATAGGTAAGCAGTTTCTGGAAGTCTGATTGCGTGTGAATATATTACATAATACTGAAGTGTTAGCTGTAGAGCAGACAGTTCTGCTTTGTAGAGATCAACAGCTTGTACATTTATAATTGCTAGATGTGTCTAGTAAGTTCTAGTACCTCTAAAAAACTTTTAGAGGCCCGGTGTGGTGGCTCACACCTGTAATCTCACTTCTTTGGGAGGCCAAGGCGGTCAGATTATCTGAGGTGGAGTTCGAGACCAGCCTGACTAACATGGAGAAACCCTGTCTCTATTAAAAATACAAAATTAGCCGGGTGTGGTGGCTCATGCCTGTAATACCAGCTACTTGGGAGGCTGAGGCAGGAGTATCGCTTGAACCCGGGAAGTGGAGGTTGTGGTAAGCTGAGATCATGCCATTGCACTCCAGCCTGGGCAACAAGAGCGAAACTCTGTCTCAAAAAACAACAACAACAAAAAACAACTTTGGGGGAAAATGTATTTTACATCCTCAATTATAAGTTACAGTTGTTTTTTTTTTTAACCTTATGGCATTCTTTATTTTAGCTTTACATTTTCTTTTTTTTTTATTTTTTATTTTTATTGAGACGGACTCTTGCTCTGTTGCCCAGGCTAGAGTGCAGTGGTGCAGTCTCGGCTTATTGCAAGCTCTTCCTCCCGGGTTCACGCCATTCTCCTGCCTCAGCCTCCCGAGTAGCTGGGACTACAGATGCCCGCCACCACGCCTGGCTAATTTTTTGTATTTTTAGTAGAGATGGGGTTTCACCGTGTTAGCCAGGATGGTCTCGATCTCCTGACCTCGTGATCCGCCCGCCTTGTCCTCCCAAAGTGCTGGGATTACAGGCGTGAGCCACCGCACCTGGCCATAGTTTCACATTTTCATATTCCTTAACTTCTTAGCATGAAAAATTTTAAACCTATGAAACAGCTGCAAAAAGAGTGCCACAAATACTTGTATACTCGTTACCTAGAGTCACCACTTGTTAACATTTTGATTCGGATATTTGCTGCCTTTTTCTTTTTCTCTTTTCTTTTTTCTTTTCCCTCCCTCTCTCTTTCCCTCCCTACCTCCTTCCCTCCCTTCCTTCCTTCCTTTCTTCCTTTCTTTGTTTTTGATTAGAGACACTTGAGCCCAGGCTGGACCTAAACTCCAGGCTGAAGCTTCCTCCTGTCTCAGCCTCCGGAATAGCTGGGATAACAGGTGTGAGCCCCCATGCCTGGCATTCCCTTATTTCTTTTGCACAGGCATAAGCTTTCTCTCCATACACAGGTGCACACACTTACTTAACTGAACCGTTAGAGAGTTGTAGATATCAGATCATTTCACCCCTTCTTGAAAAAACAGGGCATTGTGTGGAGCTCTAATTGCCTTATCACACTCAGGAAACTTAGCGCTAATTTATCTACTATTACTAAGACAAACAATGTAAACTCATATTTTTTCAGTTGTCCTAATAGTGTTCTTTTTCCTCCCAATTCAGGATCCAGTGAAGAACTGCACATTGCATTTAGTTGTCATGTTTCTTTAATTTTCTTTCCTTTGGAAATTTCCTTAGCTTCTTTTTGTGACATTGGCATTCTGACAGATGACATTGATATTTGAAGAGTCTGAATCTAACCCAGTTGTTTTGAAGACTGTTCCTCAGTTTGGAATTCTCTGACTGTATCCCCATGGATAGATTTGAATGAAACATCTTGGGGCTGGATTACTCTGAGGGATGTGTCTTTCTCATGCGTCACATCATTGGTGCTGTGAAATTGGATAACTTGATTAAGTTGATGTCTGTCTGGTTTCACCGTATCCTGTTGCCAACAATCTGTCATTTAGTGGTGGTTACAGTCACTTCTCAAGAATAAAAACTGCCTTTAAAAAAATTTCCCATACATACAGCTCGTTTAGGACTTCATAAAAGGTAGATAAGGTACCTCTTGACATTTTATTAAATAAAGAAAGGCCTGGCATACATGGGCATTTATACTGTGAGTATTTGGCTGGGTTTAAAAAACAATTTATCTTCCTGATAAAAATCAATGGATAAATCAGCTTCTGTCAGCCAGAGTCTGCAAAATGCAGTACGTGTGTAAACATCGATTGTTCTCTTGATCCCAAAACACAGATTCATTCAAACTTATGTGAAAGAGAGTTTTCCTCCTTTATATTTGTTCTAGAAGAGGCAGAGGCTGTTCTTTGGATTCTTGCATTACAATATTGACTTGTTTAGTGGGGTAGTAACTTGGAATGGCTAAGGACAAATTTCCCAGAGCGTGGAATGTTCTGAGTGACAGAGAAGGGGCCATGATTTGGAAATGAAGTTGTAACAGTGCACCTGGGATGGATCCATTGGCCCCAAAGAGAAATAACATTCATATTTTTTTCTCCAGTCAAGTATTCCAGGAAGAGATGTCTTAATGTCTCATATTGTGTAGAGCACAGTGAGTTATAACTCAATTTCAAGCAAAGATAGGAGGAAGCCAGTGGGCTGATTTCCTGATTAAGTAGGCAAAGATGACATGTGGTTTCACTTGTCATTTTCAATTTTAAATGAACTGCATCACATGCACTAATTATGCATTGTCCTTCCTGTGTTAGGTTCCTTTCAAATATGATACTCTGTGACCTGAGTGTGTTTGTGGTCATTTGGGCAAAGCAGCACTTTTGTGAAATCATAGCTTGAATCACTGGTAGCATTTGGATCACTGGTAGCACAGAGCTGATTTGATTACAGTGCTGACATCACTGTGCTGATGACCTAAGGCCTAGGTCGAGCCTTGTTGGTTTTGCTTTATTTATTGGCTGGGAAATCACCTCTCTGTTTGGTCCGTGCTTTTGAAATCCTGGGTCATCATTTGCATCATCTCGCTGCACTCCTGGTTTAAGAAAATACAGGTGTCTCTGTTGCACATTATGTCAAGTGCAGACCCCTCTACCTGATTTTTCAGGATTCTGCATTACGAATTTCCATTCATCCAGTCCAGTCTCATTTCCCACAATTCCATAGTTACCTTCCACTTTGTTTAGACTTCTTACTGTGTGACCTTAAGCAAGTTATTTAATTTCTGAACCTTGGCTTCCTCTCTATACAATAGGGATCATATGAATAGCTCCTACGTCAGAGAGGTTTTAATGAGAATTAGCTGAGATAACATCTTTTAAAAATAATAGTCTTCCATTATGGAAATGTTAATACAAGTACCAAGAACTATTCTAAACTTTTAAAATTTGTTGTCTCACTTCATCATAACAGTTTGATGAGGTAGGAGGAGCTGGTGGTAGTGGTAGTTGCACAGGTAGTGGTAATGATAATGTTGGCGCTTATTGAGCACTTACTGTGTTCCAGGTACTTTACATGTTTCCAGTGAACCCTGTGAACAGTCTTACAAGGCCGATGCTATAATTGCCATTTCATAGATAGGAAATTTAAACATAATGAGATTAAGTAACTTGCCCAGATTCACACAGCCAAAGAATTCAGGAGCTGGATTTAGAATCCAGGCCATACTTTTAGATACTAGTTTCATCCCATTTTTATTGTAGAAGGAAAACTTAGGGAGTAATTAACTTAACTAAAATTCTCACAGCACATAAATGGCAGAGCTAGAATATGAACCCAAGTCTTGATTTCAAAACTATGCTCTTTGTCATACTCCACTGCCTCCAGACTGCTGAAACAATGCTTTCTGTTGTGCTATTGTAGGGTGGATTGATTGTGATTTAATATATGTAACATCGTTGTGTTTCTTCACTCAGGAAAGATGGCATATTGCCTGGATTAAGGGAACCAGGCTTTTGGCCGCTGCTTGCCACCCTGACTCTGCCTGTTGAGTTGATGTAGGTGGTGAACACCCTTGGAGCGCAGTGGATATTTGGCAGGATACTTGACCATGGCTGGAATTCCCAGTGGTGACATTAGTGTTAAGTGGCCTATTTCTGTTGATTCAGCAGGAGGACGTGGCTAGCCCAGGATGTCAGTAGCTGATGGGAGGCAGACAGTAATGGGGAGAGGACATGGCTGTGTGATGGGACAGCACTTTGATCCCAAGTCTGCTCTGAAATTGCCCACAGCTAGCTAAACCATGTTGGACTTAAGACATTTCTCAATTTCAATTTTAGGTTGTAGGCCCTAAATTCAAAAAGTGGACTACTACATCTTGACAGGAATTCTTTTACAGATATTTGATACCCAGAAAGGGGTGTGAGCGCAGACTGATGATAGTTTACTTTTCTTTTTCAGGAAGGATGCCAGTTCTGCGCTTCTCAGTAACTATGAGGTAAATTGGACTGTTACATTTTCCTCTCTGATAGTTTGCCCTTTGTAACTAAGATTGTTAAATTCATTTTGGTTAGAAATGACTGAATTCAGGCTGGGCGCATTGGCTCATGCCTGTAATCCCAGTACTTTGGGAGGCTGAGGCGAGTGGATCACTTGAAGTCAGGAGTTCAACACCAGCCTGGCCAACATGGTGAAACCTAGTCTCTACTAAAAATACAGAAATTAGCCAGGTGTGGTGGCACGTGCCTGTAGTCCCAGCTACTTGGTATCCCAGATGAGGCAGGAGGGTCACTTGAACCCAGGAGGCAGGGGTTGCAATGAGCCAAGATGCGCCACTGCACTCCAGCCTGGGCAATAGAGCAAGGCTCCGTCTAAAAAAAAAGAAAAAGAAAAAAGAAATGACTGAATTTATTTGGATTTTCCACTTTAAAACAAGACATATGGTACCATCTGGTGGACCTTGGAATAGTGTAAGCTTGATACGTTATACATAGTACTTCAGGGAAGCTGGGAAGACTCTAATTTAGAGGTGGCAACCTTCTTTAAATCTCAAAGATTCTAGATCATCATTTGGGATGTAGTCATAGTATAGAAGCTATGTCTAATATCTAAAAGTATTTTAAGGCTGTTTCTGTCTGCAAAATTTCACATTACTTTTTTATGCTTTTTCCTAATTATCACCCTTGATATATTTATATATTTATAATGCTTTTATACATTGCAAATAGTCTTATGGGTATTCATATCCTTATTTTGAAAGTGAGTTTAGTTTGAGCGCGGTGGCTCACGCCCATAATCCCAGCACTTGGGAGGCCAAGGCAGGAGGATCACGAGGTCAGAAAATCAAGACCATCCTGGCCAACATGGTGAAACCCCGTCCCTACTTAAAAGAAACAAATAAATAAAAGTGAGTTTAGTTGACTCACCTTTCTGAATAGTAGAAATTAAGAAATGTAGAATTTTTGGGGCTTAGGGTGGGATTGCTGGAGAAAGGAAAAGAAGGAAAAAGGTTGGTAAGAGAGGAGATATTCCAGCATTTTTGCCTCCTATTTGGCACTAGCAAAACCATCTGATAGGCTAACTCTAGGTGTAGAAAGAACCATTTCTACCTTGATTGTGAATTTTCCATGTGCCAGAGTCTAAACTCAGGAAGACTCAGAGGAGGTCTAGAAGGTAGTAGGTTAAATGCGGTGGCTCACGTCTATAATCTCAGTACTTTGGAAGGCCAAGGAGAGAGGATTACTTGAGGCTATAAGTTAGAGATCAGCCTGGGAAACATAGCAAGAGCCCATCTTTTTTTTTTTTTCTTTTTTTTTGAGACGGAATCTCGCTCTGTCGCCCAGGCTGGGTGCAGTGGCCTGATCTCAGCTCACTGCAAGCTCCGCCTTCCGGGTTCATGCCATTCTCCTGCCTCAGCCTCCCAAGTAGCTGGGACTACAGGCGCCCGCCACCTCGCCCAGCTAGTTTTTTGTATTTTTTTAGTAGAGACGGGGTTTCACCATGTTAGCCAGGATGGTCTCGATCTCCTGACCTCGTGATCCGCCTGTCTCGGCCTCCCAAAGTGCTGGGATTACAGGCTTGAGTCACCACGCCCGGCCAAGACCCCCATCTCTTTAAAAAAAAAAAAAAAAATTAGCTGGGCATGGTAGCAAACACCTACTATGGTCCTAGCTACTTGGAAGACAGAGGGGAGGTTCCCTTGAGCCCTGGAGTTTGAGGTTACAGTGATCACCACTGTACTCCAGCCTGGGAGACAGCCTTTGAGACCCTGTCCCCAAAAAAAGCTCCCAGAGTTGAAGACAGCAAAAAGAAAGAAAGAAACCTCCCCCTGGTGCCCCCCACCCCGCCCCACAAATTAGAAGGTAGTAGAATAAACACAGTTGGCCGTATTCTTTCCTCCCTAAAGGCTCAATCGTAAATGGTTGCAGCTTAGAACAGGAAGGAAATGGTTGAATGGTCATTGGCCAAGCCTTTGGCTTTTAGGAGCCTCCTTGTCCAGTTTGGACTTTGCTAGGTGTTTGGGTGTTTTATCCGTTGGGGAAACATTGCATTCATTGATATCATGTCACTATTTCTGAAAGGAACAGCAGACGAAAGGGGTTCCATTGTATCTAGTAATGGTGTGTGAGCCTGCATTTTCTTCACTTCTCTGGTAGAATCTCTAAAACAGGAATGAGATTGAGATTCCCCCTGCCCCCAGCACTAATGCCTGTATGTGTTATCCTTGTGGGGAGAGTTTACTTCTAAAGATCCGTAGCATTTTTTCCTTTCTTTTTTTTGGGGGGGTAAACTCTGTCTTATCACTTGCCTCAAAATTTTTATTTTCCAGAAATAAATCATTATATTAGATTTTTATACTAGAGAAGCAGAATTCTTTTTTTTTTTTTTTTTTTTCCCAGAGGGAGTCTCGCTCTGTCACCTAGGCTGGAGTGCAGTGGCACCATCCAGGCTCACTGCAACCTCTGCCTCCCAGGTTCAAGTGATTCTCCTGCCTCAGCCTCCCGAGTAGCTGGGATTACAAGCACGTGCCACCACATCCAGCTAATTTTTTGTATTTTTAGTAGAGACAGGGTTTCACCGTGTTAGCCAGGATGGTCTTGATCTCCTGACCTCGTGAACTGCCCGTCTTGGCCTCCCAAAGTGCTGGGATTACAGGCATGAGCCACTGTGCCTGGTCACATAATTCTTTTTTAGCAAAATATTTGTTTTAAGAAAATCTGCTTTCAAATACTATATTTTTGAGATCAGAGGAGATTAGTGATGTATATATTGATAGGAAATACTTGAAATATTTTAAATAAATTAATGAATTTGGATTATTCGGCTTATATAAGAGCATTTTTTTAAAATGTCATCTGCCTCTAGGACTCATTTGCTCAAATCCAAGAGTTGGAAGCTGCGTAATGGGCGGGTGAAAGGAAGTACTACACTTTCCTGTTTATCCTTCCAAACCACTGACCTTGAATAGATATATTTCTCAAATGTATTCATAAACATCTTTTGTGTATCTCCTTCTAGGTGTTTCAGTTACTAACTGATCTGAAGGAGCAGCGTAAAGAAAGTGGAAAGAATAAACACAGCTCTGGACAACAGAACTTGAACACCATCACCTATGAAGTAAGCCTGGGCTTCTGGCAGACCTACCTAAAGTACCACTGAGGGATAGGGGTTTATTCTCCCAGTGACTGGCTGCCGAAATCAAGATCACTTTTTATATGATCTGAATAGTTTTACTCTAACCTGATTTTGTTTGTTTGTTTGTTTTTTGAGACGAAGTCTCACTGTGTTACCCAGGCTGGATTGCAGTGGCACGATCTCCGCTCACTGTAAGCTCCACCTCCCGGGTTCACACCATTCTCCTGCCTCAGCCTCCTGAGTAGCTGGGATTGCAGGCATGCAGCACCTTGCCCAGCTAATTTTGTATTTTTAGTAGAGACAGGGTTTCTCCATGTTGGTCAGGCTGGTATCGAACTCCTGACCTCAGGTGATCCGCCCACCTCGGGCTCCCAAAATGCTGGGATTACAGGTGTGAGCCACTGCACCCAGCCATTTTTCTCTTTCATAAAAGTTGTAGAGACAGTGCTGGGAGTTTTCATGTACCCTTCCCATAGTTTTCTCTGATGTTAACATCTTACATAACCATGGTACAGTGATCAAAAACAAGAAATTAACAGTGGTACATACTGCTAAACTAAGCTAAAATTTTATTTGAATACCTTGTTTTCCCATTGCTGTCTTCTGGGTTCCAGGATTCAATTCAGGATACCATTTTGTATTTAGTTAACATGTCTCCATGATGTCATTCGATCTGTATCCTTACTCTTCCTTTGTCTTCCATGACCTTGACACTTCTAAAGGGCTTGTCAAGTATTTTGTAGAATGTCCCTTGATTTCTGATTGTCTGATGTTTTCTTATGATTACACAGAACCTATGGCTTTTGAGGAAGAGTACCACAGAGGTGATCTCCCCTTCTTGTGTCATGATTTCTCGGGGTACATGATGTCGATGTTTCTTATGGCTAATGTTGTTAACTTTGGTCATTTGGTTAAGATGGTATCTGCCCGGTTTCTCCACTGTAAAGCTACTGTTTCTTCATTTCCATATTATGTTAGAAAGGATTCACCAAGTTCCGCCCATATTCAAGGGGAAGGGGGAGATTAAGCTCCACCTCTTGAAGGGAGGGATGTCAAAGAATTTGTGGATGTGTGTTAAAACCACCACAGTAATTAAAAAATATTTTGTGGGAGATGCTTTGAGGCTATGAAAACAGCCTACCCTTCCTTAAGCTTTTAACCATCAATTTTAGCACTCATTGGTGGATCTTTCCTGCAGTAATTATGACTATGGTACAATTGCCTGAGAGTGATTTATAATTTTTCTCATTCTTTCTATGCTTATTAGATACAATTTTTTTTTTTATTTTAAGAGGCAAGATTTTACTTTGTTGTTCAGGCTGGTCTCAAACTCCTGGGCTCAAGTGATCTTCCCTCCTTGGCCTCCCATAGTGCTGGGATTACAGGTGTGCACCACTGTACCCAGCTCATATGAGTTAGAATTCTTCCATAAGAAAAAGTTGTCTCTTCTGGCTGGGCACAGTGGCTCACGCCTGTAATCCCAGCACTTTGGGAGGCTGAGGCGGGCAGATCACGAGGTCAGGAGATTGAGACCATCCTGGTTAACAAGGTGAAACCCCGGCTCTACTAAAAATACAAAAAAATTAGCCAGGTGTGGTGACAGGTGCCTGTAGTCCCAGCTACTGGGGAGGCTGAGGCAGGAGAATGGCGTGAACCCAGGAGGTGGAGCTTGCAGTGAGCGGAGATCACACCACTGTACTCCAGCCTGGGCAACAGAGCAAGACTCTGAGACTCTGTCTCAAAAAAAAAAAAAAAAAGTAAAAGTTGTCTCTTCCTACCCATTATTTTATTCACTCATATATATCCATGTGGACTCATGGCAATTTATTTTATTCTTTGGGTTCCCCCTCTTTTAAAAAATTGTTCAAAATATGATAGCACAATTGTCAGATTGAGTTTTTTTTTTTGAAATCAGAAAAATTTTCTTCTAAAATTTCATTAATTATTCTTCCTGTTCTAGCTACTGATTTTCTCTTTCAGGAATTCCAATTACATGAAGATTGGTTCTCCTGAATGCCTCTTTGTTTTATATAGGATTTTCTTTTCTTTTCTTTCCTTTTTTTTTGAGACAGAGTCTCAGACTCTGTTGCCCAGGCTGGAGTGCTATGGTGCAATCTCGGCTCACTGCAACCTCTGCCTTCCGGGTTCAAGTGTTTCTCCTGCCTCAGCCTCCCTAGTAGCTGGGATTACAGGCATGCACCACCACACCCAGCTAATTTTTTGTATTTTTGGTAGAGATGGGGTTTCACCATGGTGGCCAGGCTGGTCTCGAACTTCTGACTTCAGGTGATTTGGCCACCTCAGCCTCCCAAAGTGCTGGGGTTACAGGTGTGAGCCACCGTGCCCAACCTCTACAGGATTTTTAAAAACAAAATTTTAGAATTTTAATTACAGCCATTTCCTTTGTTTTTTCTCATTCAGGGTTGTCTTATGCTTGGCTTTTTTCTTTTTTTCCAGACGTTAAAATACATATCAAAAACACCATGCAGGCACCAGAGTCCTGAGATTGTCAGGGAATTTCTCACAGCAATGAAAAGCCACAAGTTGACCAAGTAAGTAAATCTCTTAAGTAGGAAGAGAGTGACCCATGGTGAAATGATGGCTGAGGAAAGCCATTCGAAGCTACGGTGTATTGATACTCAGCTGGGTTTGGATTTAAAGGAGGATTATAGTATTGTAGATGAAACAACTGAAAGTTAGACATAGGGACTAGAGTAAGGAACAAATCTTTTTTTTTTTTTTTTTTTTTTTAAATCAATGAAGAAAGTTCATTTCTCCTAGTGATACTGTATTAGTGTGCCTGCTTATTTGGCAAAATTAGCAGAGATAATTTACATTCTCAAAAAAGATGGGTGAGGGGAAATGGAAATGCCTCATGGAAAAGAAGGCAAATTTAGGTCGTGGGTAGAGATCTCAATCAAATGGGCCAAAATACAGTTTATTTATATCTGCTGACTCCCAACTGCTAGCATCTGACCACAGCATGACAAGATTGGAATGGGGGAACCTGGGCTCTAGTCCATTTTCTGCCCCTTACTAGCACCATGACCTTGGAAAAGGTATTTGACCTCTCTGAGTTTCATTATCCTTACCACTGAGATAAGGATCATCTGCTAAACTCACAAGGCTGGGGCAAGGGTGAAGGGTGGTGTCTTCATGGAAATAATATGTGTAGATGTCCTTTTTGGACTCCAGAAGCCATAAATGATGCAACCTTATTTATTAATCATTACTGTGAACAGGGCCAAACATTTCTATATTATTAACACTGCCTCTACCCTAACGATTCAATTCAGATAAACTTTACAGAGCACTTCACTCCAAGAGCTGAGGATCAGGGCCACTTGATTCTTAACTACACAGTGCCTCGAAACCAAAATTGGTAGAACCAATAGTTCTATTCTTAAAGCGGGACCCATCTAGCCTTCCATTATCTAGATGAAAATGAGCTTACTAATTTAGAAACACAAGTGAGTGTATTCTAGGCTAACGAAATTAATTCTTCTCTAATTATTGAGAACATTAAATGTCACGAGCTGATCTCAAAATGTTAGTAAAATAAGTTAAATTGTTTTGAAAGGAAGGAAATGTGATAATGTGATAGAAATGGGGAAAAAACAAGACAGAATTCAAATATTCAAATCAAGTACTAACTCTGGTTTGACTGGGTAAATGCAGGAGAAGACCTTCCTTCCTTCCTTCCTTCTTTATTTATTTATTTATTTATTTTTATTAACTTTAAGTTCTAGGGTACATGTGCACAGCGTGCAGGTTTGTTACATATGTGTACATGTGCCATGAGGAGCACATCTTAATGGGGTGTAAAAATCTTTTCTTGGCCGGGCGCAGTGGCTCATGCCTGTAATCCCAGCACTTTGGGAGGCCGAGGCGGGCGGATCACCTGAGGTCGGGAGTTCGAGACCAGCCTGACCAGCATGGAGAAACCCTGTCTCTACTAAAAATACAAAATTAGCTGGGCGTGGTGGCACATGCCTGTAATCCAAGCTACTAGGGAGGCTGAGGCAGGAGAATTGCTTGAACCTGGGAGGCAGAGGTTGTGGTGAGCCAGTGAGTTGGCGGTGAGCCAAGATCATGCCATTGCACTCCAGCTTGGGCAACAAGAGCAAAATTCCATCTCAAAAAATAAATAATCTTTTCTTGGAGTCCCAGTTTGTATGACCTATCGCATTACCCCTACTCCCAGAATTCAGACCAAATTGAATAAAAAGTAGGGTTTACAAGTTAAAAGTATTTTTTATAAAGTTGATCAATGAAGTCCTTCGATGTTTGTGTTTGCTTGAGGCAAAAGTGGCTTGATCGTATTCTATGAGTTCTTGTAGTGTCCAGTTCCTTTTCTTGGTCTGGAATGAGTTAATCTATTAAAATCAAAAACGTCATAGACCAAGGGTTTACATGAGAAGAAAACTAGCCCAGTTTTTTTTGTTTTGTTTTGTCTGTTTTTTTGAGATGGAGTTTCGCTCTTGTGAGTTCATGCTGGAGTGCAATGGCGCGATCTCAGCTCACCGCAACCTCCACCTTCAGGTTCAAGTGATTCCTCCTGCCTCAGCCTCCACAGTAGCAGGGATTACAGGCATGCGCCACCACGCTTGGCTAATTTTGTATTTTTAGTGGAGACGTGGTTTCTCCATGTTGGTCAGATTTTTCTCAAACTCCCAACCTCAGATGATCCGTCCACCTCGACCTCTCAAAGTGCTGGGATTACAGGCATGAGCCACTGTGCCTGGCCAATTTTGTGTTTTTATTTTTTTTAATTAATTAATTTTTTTTTTTTTTTTTTGAGATGGAATCTCGCTGTCGCCCAGGCTGGAGTGCTGTGGTGCGATCTCAGCTCACTGCAAGCTCTGCCTCCTGGGTTCATGCCATTCTCCTGCCTCAGCCTTCCAAGTAGCTGGGACCACAGGTGCCCACCACCAAGCCTGGCTAATTTTTTGTATTTTTAGTAGAGACGAGGTTTCACCATGTTAGCCAGGATGGTCTCGATCTCCTGACCTTGTGATCCGCCCGCCTTGGCCTCCCAAAGTGCTGGGGTTACAGACGTGAGCCACCGCCCCCAGGCCCAATTTTGTATTTTTAGTAGAGATGGGGTTTCACTGTATTGGCCAGGCTGGTCTTGAACTCCTGACCTCAGGTGATCCTCCTGCTTCAGCCGCCCAAAGAGCTAGCATTTCAGGCGTAAGCTACCGTGCCTGGCCTATGTATGCATTTTTGAATTGACTTGTTGATATCTGGAACAAATCCTGCTGAGATTCTGATTGGGATTGTATTACATCTGTAGGTCAGTTTTGGGGGAGAATTGACATTTTGACAATATTAATAATTTAAGATTGGCCAGGCGCAGTGTCTCACGCCTGTAATCCCAGCACTTTGGGAGGCCAAGGCAGGTGGATCACAAGGTCAAGAGATCAAGACCATCCTGGCCAACATGGTGAAACCTTGTCTCTACTAAAAATACAAAAACTTAGCCAGGAGTGTTGGCGGGGGCGCCTGTAGTCCCAGCTACTCGGGCGTCTGAGGCAGGAGAATCACTTGAACCCGAGAGATGGGGGTTGCAGTGAGCTGAGATCGCACCACTGCACTCCAGCCTGGTGACACAGCGAGACTCTGTCTCAAAACAAACAAACAAAAAAAAACTCATAATAATAATTTAAGATCAGTCAAAGGTTAAAAAAAACAACCCACCAATACTGAACCTTCTAGTCCATGAAAACAGTGTAGCATACAGGTTCTGCACAAATTTTTTTAGATTTATACCTATTTCATAATTTTGCATGCTATTGTAAGTGGTGTTCATTTCCAGTTGTTGATTGCTGATGTAGAAATACAGCTGACTTTATATTGATCTTATGCCCTCAAGCCTTGAAAAATCCACTTATTAGTTCCAGGAACTTTTTTAGTGTATTCTTTAGGATTTTCTATGCAGACAGTCATGGTGTTTGCAAACAGAGTTTTACTTCTTTCTCATCTGTATGCCTTTTCCTTCTTTTTCTTATTTCATTGCCCCAGCTCGGGCCTCCAGGACGATGTTGAGTAGCAGTGGTGACAGCAGACATCCTCAGCTTGTCCCTGATATTAAGGGAATACAGTTTGGCCTTCACCATTAAGTATGATGCTAGTTTAGGTTTTCCATGGATGTCTTTTACCAGGTTTAGGAAGTTCAAATTGCTGAGATTGGATGTTGAATGTTGTCACTTGCTTTTTCTATATCTATAAAGCTAAAAAGATTTGTAGCCTTTTGGCTGTATCTTTTTATTTACTATCTAGTAGTTACTCTAGGGATCCCTACTGGGTTACTAGTAGGGTTAATAATATGCATGCCTGACCATTTATAGTCCGGAGTTAATGTTTTACTGATTAGTGTATATAGGTCTCTTTACCTTCTTTTTGTGTTATGGTTATATTTATAACATATAAACTACATACATTGAAACATATAATCTACATACCATTAGTGGTGTTTTAACATTTACTTTCTTTTTTTTTTTACTTCTTTTTATTATTATTATTATACTTTAAGTTCTAGGGTACATTTACTTTCTATATTCTTACATACTTTAAAGAACTTAAGAGAACAAAAATGTCTTTTATGTCTACCCAAAATGTCATCATTTCTTTTGCTGTCTATTTCTGAAGTGCCCCGTGTCCTGTTTATCATTTACTTCACCAGGAAGAACTTCCTTTGGCACTTTTCTGAGAACAGGTCTGCTGGCTACAGATTCTCTTATTTTCATTTGGCCGAGAATGTCATTATTTTCTTTCATTCCTGAAGGATAATTTCCCTGGATTGATTGATCTTTTCCTTCAGAACTTTAAAGATGTCATTTCAGTGACTTCTGGCTGTCACAGTTTTTGGTTAGAAATCTGTGATCAGGCTAGATGCAGTGGATCACGCCTGTAATCTCAGCCCTTTGGGAGGCTCAGACAGGAAGATCACTTGAGGCCAGGAGTTTGAGACCAGCCTGGGCTTCATTGTGAGACTATCTCTATATTTTGAAAAATAATTAATTAAAAAAAATTTTTAAATCTGCTATCACCCTAACCCTAATGTGTCATTTTCCTCTGGCTGCTTTCAAGATTTTTTTTTATCCCCTCTGTACTCTCACTGCTTCACTTCACTAGCCTAAAAAAATGTTTTAGGCCGGGTGTGGTGTCTCACACCTGTAATCCCAGCACTTTGGGAGGCCGAGGCAGGCGGATCACAAGGTCAGGAGATCGAGACCATCCTGGCTAACACCGTGAAACCCCGTCTCTACTAAAAAAATACAAAAAAAGAAATGAACCGGGCGTGGTGCTGGGTGCCTGTAGTCCCAGCTACTCGGGAGGCTGAAGCAGGAGAATGGCGTGAACCCGGGAGGCGGAGCTTGCAGTGAGCTGAGATCGCACCACTGCACTCCAGCCTGGGCGACAGAGTGAGACTCCATCTTAAAAAAAAAAAATTAAAATTAAATTTAAAAAAGATTCTTTAAGTCTTTGGTCTTCAATAATTTGATAATGATATGTTTCAGGTTTTTTTCCCCAGTTTGTCTTTGCTGAG